GCATGATTTTGCGTTTTTTTAAATTATTTGGTCAAAAATCTTTAAAATTTTTTGCGGAAAAACGCCTTAAATCTAATGAAATAAGTGCATTTATAAAAAATAAGGTAATTTGAGTTTAATTTTGCAATTTTCTACATTATTTTTATTATTTCTTACATTATTAAATTAAAAAATTATATAACGTTAAATGTTTTAAAGTCACTCGGGTCAAATTGTCACCATATGACATTAATTTATTGAAATTTTTCTAAAACATTTAATATCGCTAACATATTTCACAGATAATTTTGCGAATTTTTATATCTCACATTTTTTCAAAAATCTTTCAAATTTAGCTATTTTTTTTTTTGAAAACGCCTTGAATCTAATGAAATAAGCACAAATAACATAGTATTAGTGTTCCTGTTACAGGAAATAACTTGTTTTAAATTTAACTTTTAACTTTTCTACTTTTTTATTGTTTTACATTGTTTTTTTTTAATTTCTTCAGTAATAACATTTTATTTCAGTAACGTATTTCATCGATTTTTGTCATACTTTGGTAAAAATCTTACCAAATTTAGGATTTTTTTTAAAACGTCTTAAACCTATTAAAATAAGCAAAAATAATACATCTTAGACTTCCTTTTAACGAAAAATAACCTATTTTAAATTTAATTATGCAGTTTTTGACTTTGTTTTTATTGTTTTTTATATCATTAATTTTTTCTCTTTATTTAAACAAATTTTCAAAATTAAAATATTTTTTAGGCGATTTTTTTGGCTTATTTCGTCAAAAATTTCTTGGTGAATCTACTGAAATGAGTGAAAACCATGCATTTCAAACTTACTTTAAAAAATAGCTTCATTTAAATTTAATTTCGCATTTTTTCTTTTATATTGTATTTATTTCATCAATTTTTTCACTTTATTTAAACAAATTTACAAAATTTAATGTTTGAAAGTACCCGGGTCAAGGTGTCACCATAAACCACTCATTTATTGACATTTTCGGTAATAACATTTGATATCGGTAATGAATCGGAATTTTGAAGATGCTTCTCCCGATAAAATTAAAGGTCGCCGGAGTACAAAAGCCCCGAAAATGCCAATCCTTTACTAAACCTCACTTGCCTTAATAACTAGACAACTGAAATGAAGCTTTGTGTAACTATGAGAGGGTCCATTTCAGTTAGACGCCGCAATTAATAAGGCAACGTAGCGTGAGAGAAGTGAATCCAACTGATCCCACTGAAAATTTCGGCACGAAACCTTTGTCTGAAACTTATTTCCTGAAACTATTTTGCTAGAAGCGAAGCTGTGCTAAAGTGCAAATGAGTTAATTATAGTGATTGATTTTTTAAATTAGCAAACACAATGTTATATAAACAAATTTTGTAACATATTGTGTGTGGTGACCAATTACTTTCAACCTCAATAAAAACATTCAATAAAAATAAAATCTGAGTAATTTCACATTCCCTAGATTAATAATTAATTACGCTCCTGGATGCTCATGGTCAAAAGTGCTATCAAAAATTCTAATTTCGTAAAATCGGTGTGGTAATGAGTCGCCCACCTTCACATGATGCGACAGATCCAGATTAAAAATATTTTTATGGTAATTCAGTAGCATCAAGGGCGAGAAATTTCCTCAATCAATTAGGTAATTTTAAGGCATTATTACGGTAATTCCCCCATTTCCTCGTGCATTAATACAGTTAAATAACTCATTGAAAACAGCTCGGTGAAGAACAAGTTGTTAATTGAGTTTTGATGGACTCGACGCCTCAAGCTCTTCATCGCTAATTGCACGCATCTTTGGTATGTGAAAAGGCGTCTCAAGGATGTTCTACATTACCGTCGAATCAAATATCATGCGCCTTAATTCCGTTTATTTTTACGGAGGACCGGATCATTGGCTCCGGGCGCTCTGACCTAATATAGAAATGACAAGAAATTCTTGCAAACCAAAAGAAATATTTTTATTTACAATCCCTAAACTCCTTTTTTACTTCTCATGGCCATGATTTAACTTGAGTTAGAAGTAAGGAACCAGTGTTGCCAGTTCAAAACAATTGAATTCACCAGATCTGAGCTGAAAAGTTACCAGATTTACACCTATTATAACCAAATTACAAGAATATACAGGCTGTTCCGGCTAAACCCCACATTAGAAGTATTTTAAGTTCTAACAGTAATATTTATCTAAAATTTTGATTATATGCATTTTATCAGACTTCCCTATACCTAAATTTAACCGTTTTTTTAATATTTAGTCTTTTTTGAAATTTTTTGAATTTGCATCTTTCTCTCCAAAAATCGATTACTCTACTATTTTTAATTATTTTGAAATCGTGTTTGGGCCTATAAAAAAAAATGTTAGATCTTTTCTTTCGTGTATTTATAATTGGAAAAATAAATAACAAACCTCCAAAATTTAAGGTTACGTTTGGGAAAATTCAAATACCTGTAACTGAATTTTTTCAAATGGAAGGCCCCACTTTTTTCTTGACTAAATGAAAGAGAATTTAATTCTGCATCGATCTATATTAACATTCCCTATACCTAAATTTAATGATTTCCAAGTTATTTTGACTTGTTTTTACAATTGAAGAAATTCATCCATGGTAGTTTTAGCATAGTTTACCATATCAATATTTCTCACTGAAAAAAAACAAGTTTTTTTCATAATTGAGTTATTCTCGTCGTATATACAAATAAAATTTATTTAATCTAAATTTGAGTAACTTTAATATTCTATTTTTTTTCTTATTTCTATGACAATCTTACATTTTGACGGTTTGTTAATTATTTTTCCAATTATGAATATACCAAAGGAAAGATCTAACCTTTCTCTCTCGTAGGCCCAAATACGGTTTCAACATAATACAAAATGGTAAAGTTATCGGTTTTTGAATAGGAAGATTCAAGTCCAAAAACTTTTAAAAAAGAATAAATACATCAAAAACGGTTAAACTTAGGTATAGGGAAGGCTAATAAAACTCTCTCAAAATTACTTGAATGATCCAAAAACGCAATAAAAAATATAACTTTCTATTTAAAATAACGAAGTTGATATCCACTTCCGGTGTAACCGGAAATGCCGCCATCTTTAAAATATTTTCATTGAACAGAACCTAACCGATTATGGCGATAAACAAAATCATTGTTAAAACTCCCAATACTTCTAATGTGAAATTGATCCGGAACACTATGTATGATTTAAATTTTTTTAATACTGTCGAAGATTTTACATAAATCTCGCAAATCTGCTCAAAAACGTGCTTAAATGCTCAAAAAATGCAAAAATAGCGCTATTTTATTTAGTCTAATTCAATTTTAGTCTTCTTCAATTTTATTTGACTAGTTTTTAATTAAATTTTGCAAAATACCGGGTAACTACTAATGTTTGTGTCAAAAAATCTATTGGCAACACTGAATAATTATTCGTAATCCTTCTTTTGTTGTATATAAAAGTTTGACGTTTGAATTTGAAAGTCAAGGTTGCCTAACTAAAACTTTAAATTTGACACCAACTTGAGGTAAAAAATGAAAATCATTTACAGTCACCCAATATTTACGTTTTTACTTAAAAAAACATGCTAAAACACTTGATAAAGACAAAAATAATGATTTAATTCGATGGTTTTTTTGCTTTGTTTTAGCAAAATCTTGCAAATTAACAAAATTTTCGACAATTATTTTGTATTTTTTGTCTTATTTCTTTCACAAAATTTCACTCAAAACAGCTAATTCAAATGAAACAAACGAAATAACGTCAATTTAGATTTATTTTTGTAGTGTTTAAGCATGTTATGAGAATATCCTACAAAATAAATTAGTCTGGTTCAAAAACGAACTAAATCTATTTTCATAATTCCATCTAATTTAGTAATTTTTCAGTCAGTTTCAGCAAAAATTTAAATACATCTTATAAACGTGCTAAAACACTCTAAAAATGCAAAAATAACACTAGTTTTGAACTGATTTGATAAATTTTCGGTTTGTTTTTAACGAAATTTTGCAAAATAGTTCTGTTCCTGTCTAAAGACATACAAAAACGCTCAAAAATGAACAAAATTATGTTCTTTTTGACCCACTTTAGTATTTTTTTTACCTTGTTGAGTAAAATATCATTTAAAAAAATAAAACTATTTTTTGAAAGGTGCAAAATGCTCAAAAAAATACAAAAAAATAGTGGCATCATTTTTAACTGAATTTCCTATATCAATAATTGAAAAATCAAATTAAAAACGTTAATTTGACTAACATTTGATTAAAAAATACATTAATTTCCTGCTGGAAGTACAGTTACGTTTCTAAAAAATCATCAGAAATTTGAATTTTTACAAAACATTTGACCAAACCATTAAATTAGTGTAAAAATCACCAGATCTGGTAAAATTTCAACAGATTTGGCAACACTGTAAGGAGCTTTCAGGCTCTATTTGCAGAATTTCAATTTAAGAAAAACATAATTTTAATCTTATAATTCGTAACGTTGTAATATCGGCACTGAAACTGTTCAATAAACTACTCGGAAACCCTTTGTTAAATTAAATGAAATCCTGAAAAGCTCGAAAGCTGTGTTATGCTCATACAAAGCCTCATACGAAAGCTTTTTATTGCCGTGTACGGCCGGAGAGAAAAACAGCCCAAATTAATGAGTTTTGGTCTGAATTTGATTTTTTGCAAAAAAACAAGGACACGGAAATTTGTATCAAAGTTCTCAATTAAAATAGCATTTTGGATGACTTAAAGATGAAATATGTTTATGGCTAACTAGTTAAAAGTTGTTTAGCAGTTAAATCGGCTAATTAAGTCTCCGCGGCGTGATAAATAGAATTTGGGATCGCCTCGAGTCTCAATTACTCGGATATTTAAATTTTTTTGATAATAATCAGCGATATATTTGTAACCTTTAACTAAAATTACTTATTACAGTTTTAACCCTGCTCGCCTTGAATACAAAATTGTGAAATGTTCCTAAATTAAGTATATCATCCCATGAGACTCATCCTCGGTACTCGAACTATAAAAGCGAAAGGCATCTCATATCAAATCATTCGTTTTTAGTCTCTCAATTAGTAGAATTATGAAATTGGTAAGAGAATTAATAATTGCGGATTTTATTTGCTTTTCAGTTTTTGGTTTCAGTGTTGGTGGCGGTGGCGACCGCAGCTCGGCTCGAAAACACGTATTTGCCGCCAAGTAGTGCCCAAACGGCCGGCGGCAGCAGCAGCTTCCTCAACGCCCCCAGACCGAGCGGT